TCATCAGTGCCCAGAGCAGGACACAAAACAAAAGCCCAAAGATCCCCCTGCCATCTTAGAACCAAGACCTTGACCATGGAGGTACCTGCTTGGGCATGCTTTGCTCTGATGGAAAGGGAAATACAAAGTGGCAATGTGAATTCAGCTGCTTGACGAGTCAGTAGATGCATAATTTAAGATCACTTAAAAGTATTTAACTAAGTATGGGTGCTGCAGGGAACTTCCAGACACAGATTTCGCTGATAAATGAACATGGTGCTTAGGTTGGGGCTTGGGTTGTCTATCAGAGTTTCTTAAACTTTTTCCATTCAGGACACCCCACTTTATAATGTATTATTTTTTATTATAATTTGTCTTTATTCTAGAGAATTTCATACTTGTACACAATGAAATATAATCATATTCATCATGCATTTTCCTCTTCTAACTCTTCTTGTGTACCTGAAACATGTCTCCTTCCCAACTTCATATTTCCTCCTCTCCTCCTTCCCCTCCCCACTTCATCTTCTTCTTTTGATAACCCACTAAGTGCAATTAATGTTATCTATATGTGCATGGGTGTGGGATCATCCACTGCAGCATGGGAAACCCACCAAAGAATGGCTCTCCCTCCCGCAGCAGCTCTCCACTGCCAATAGGTCTTCAGGAAGAGACACGGCCTAGGGAGCCTCTCCCCCATCTATGTTGTGTAAAGGAGCAGTCTCTTCATGTCCGGATAGCCCATGGGTTCGGCCTCATATGCAGAGATTCCTTTTTCAGCAGGGTGCCTTCCCGGCATCTTCCTGACTCATCTTTTGAAGCAGCCCTCACAGAAACATGGCCTCCGGCTCAGGAACTGCCAGCTTTTTCCTGTGTGATTTTCAGGCAGTCTGGTAGCCTGACAGGAGCCCACTTCCACATGTAAATAAGGCATCCTAAAAGTACCTATCAGCTAAGGTTTTCACCACTACCCCCACAGTATAAAGTATCTTGGTTTTCCCTCAATAATCGGAGCTGGATTACTAAAACTTGGAGCCGAGCTGAGTCACTGAATAAAGAGCTGTAACACAGACTAAGCTGAGTCCCGTGTCTTATTGCCTACGATCCAGACTCTCCGGAGAAAGCTGTTTCTTTGTAAGCCACGACTCACAGAACCCTAGCTTTCGCCGGCCTGCACCTTCCGGCGTGATCCGGCAGCTGACGGATCTCGCATCTCGAGGAAGTGCACGGGTGAAATTAGGACGGGACTGACCGGGCCAGCCCCAGTAGCACAAGCCTCAGCAGCACGGAGAGCCAGGGGCCTGCCAGCAGCACGGAGATCCGGGACCCAAACTACAGACGCGGTGCGGGACCCGCCGCACTCCCAGGTGCACGCAGGAGACCTGCACCACGTCGCACCCAGCGGCGCGAGGGAGACCGGCGCCACGCCCAGCAGCTGGCGCTCCGCGGAACCCCGCACCCCCATACATCTACACTAAGATTGTGGCTCACTTGGTCATATGCTAGTCTTGTGTAGATATATAGCCATAGCTGTTGTGGGTTCATGATTGTGATAGCTATTGTTACGGAATTTGAAACCACCGGGAAAAGACCACCAAATTTTAATTGGTCTATAGCTGTCCATGGTCCCTTAATCAGATTGAGGACCCACTCCCCCTGGTCAAGGGAGAAACTAGCTTGTAAAGGCAAAAACCATAAATACCACAAGAATTTTATCATACATGAGTAATGCCAGGTGGGCCTCACTAGGGTTAGGACTGCCCAAGTTAGCAGATAAGCAAAATACAGAAGCCCAAACAAACTTCTGTTAGTCCTCTCTTAATAGATATATAGAGACTTTGACAGTAAGGAGCTTTCTGATTATTATTGTTAATTAGGCTTCTTGGCTAGGCAGGAAACACAGCTACAGTGTCTGGGAGGTGACCAAGGTCAGCTACTTCAAAGAAAGCAGTCAGCTAAGTTCAGACCTGACCTTGAAGCTGGCCCTTGTTCTAGCCTTTGAAGTTTAAAGTGACTCTTCTATACAAAATGAAGAAAATGAAGTTACTTTGGCTATTACAATTTGGGGACTCCATTTGGGGCCATTACACTATGTCATGTCCAGAAGACAGCATTTCACAACCTTCTTTCCCATCTTCTGATGTTTACATTCTTTCTGTCTCCTCTTCTGTGATGTTCCGCGAGCCTTCACAGAGACAGGGCAAGGGTGCAGATTGATGGGGTTAAGCACTCTGTCTCAAATCTCAGCACTTTGACTAAATATATCTCTCTGCATTGACTGCTGCTCACTGCAAAAAAGAAGTTTCTCTGACCAAGGTTAAGGGCAGCCCAGATCTATGGCTATAAACATAAATATTTAGACAGTAACCTGACAACATGACTATTGAACAGAATAACCTCCTTCCACAACCATGGGCTTTTGATGAGACATTTCTTTTTGTGCTGCAGGCCTCAAATCCAGTCAGAAAGTGACTAGCTATCCCCTAACAGTCATGCCACTATTGCACCAGTGGGCACATTTTGCCTAGCGTACTGGTATTTAGCATGCGGGACCTAATACTGGGTAAGACCACTGATGCCTTTATGGTATGTGATTACTCACAGGACACAAACGTTTTTCCCAGCTGCTTTTCTCCAGTTACTATCTAGGCACAAAGTCCTGCTATGTCTACTAACTATCTTCAAGGACATCCTGGGCTTTGGAATAACAAGCTTAAGATGAAGGTTGTGGTATCAGTCAGTGTGCTGGGCGACAACTCCACACAGCTCCTTGTGTGCAAGGAACTTTGTGGCATTCCTTCAACTTGCTTGTGACTTTCCAAAGCAGCTTGTCCAGTTAACTCTATGTTGCCCAATCATTTCTCTTTATACTATTTGGTTCCCTTCAGTTTGAGATTGATTTCTTTATGTCTTAAAGCCAAAATGTGTGGTGTCTTTAGCAACAGGGTCTTACCATGTAGTTATGGTGAGTAACCAGGGGTGATGACAATAGCCTGTGTTATGGAGATCTCTGGGGCCTCTCTGACCAATAACTTATAAGAATGATGCCATGCCTATGATTTTCATTTAATAACCCATATCTTCTGGAAATGACATTGCAGGACCATTTTCACCCAAGAAATTATTACATGATCATGGGTACATAGGCATATACAATAGATGTATAAATCAGGGACTGGAGAGATGGCTCAGTGAAAGAAGTGCTTGCTGGTCAAGGATGAGGACCAGATTTCAGATTCCCAGAACCCATGTCAAATCTGGGTCGGCAGGGCACCCACCTTACCCTGTGCTGGAGAGGTGGTAACAGTATCTCCTGGGGCAATCTGGCTAGCTAGATTAATACAATGGATGAGCTCTAGGTTCAGGGAAATATTTTGTCTATGTATATAAAGTGGAGAGCAATAAAGAAAAACATCCAACATCAACCTCTGCCCTCCACATACATGTGCATGCACACAGACATGCACTCACACACATATGAACATGAACACATACACATGCATACATATCAAACACATACATATACAAAAATAAAAGAAATATATATGCAAGTTGAATATTTTACTGATAATAAATCATAATGCAATTTATTTTAAAACAAGTCTTTGATATACATATAATTAAGCTATTTAATAAAGATGAAAGCAAATTTGCATACTAATAAGATGGATGTACTTGTTATTCTTACTTGAAGAGTTACTACATCTTGGCTTACTATTTTATACTGCATCATATTCAGTATCTTCCATGTTTTTCAGAATTGATCCATATTTTGATTTTCTACTTACCTATGCTGAGAATACTACTTTGCAAAAATACTTGGTACAAAATTGCAGAAGTGTATTTAGGGCCATTTCAGAAATTTTATTCTAATCCCAAACCAAAATGTATTTCTTATGAAAGCTATTCAAGGCTTTTTAAAATCAAACATTCCAACATTACAATCCAAAGATATACTAATTTGATACTAACATGCCAAGGAGTGACAGCAGGAAATCATCATGTTTTTGGCTTTCATACTAAGCCATTTTATTTCTATAAGAGCAAAAAACTTTGTATATCCCATAAAAATATTGCAGTTCATAACACACAACAGTATTGAATCTGAGTTGAAGTGTTCCCGGCAGCTTTTGCTGATGTTGCCTAGCATTAGGGCCTGCCCAGTGCAGACTATGTGTGTTTTGGGGTCAGAATCAAAGCCACATCTGAGTCATATGATGCAGGATGGGTGAGTGCTTCCAGAAGCACCTCAGGTTAATTATATATTTGATTTTGAATTAAGTTTTGGTTGTTGCAGTGCAGAAAACTTTCTCTGTTGCCAATATTTTCAGGACTCTCACGTTCAGTTCTGTGTCGCTGCATACCTTCTAAGAAACTGGAATGCTTTTTTTTTTTTTTAATTTAAAGTCCTGGTCCTCGTGGACTAGGTAGCTTGAGCTTGTCTGTGGAGAGGAAGGAACTACTTATTTCTTGGTGAGCTTGATGAGAAGGCCACTGGTGAAATCAGCCTTGTAGTGCCCTTTGTGCCAAACATCCTTATCTGCCTCACATCAGACGTTTAGTTTTCACATCTCTGAGATGAAGATGGATTCACCGTTGAAGGCCTTCTGGACGGAGACTGGTGAGTTTGACTTGAGGCCTAGGATTGAGTCAGTGACCTGCTAGGGCTGAGCACATGATCCCAGGTGACTGGTTCTGTTGCTTTAGCTCCAACTCTACTTTTTATAAAATACAAAAGCCCAGTTTATTCACAGGCTGATGCTTTCTAAAAGCCATGTCCCAACAGTTATCATAGCACTGTTTATAAATCAAAATAATTTTGAAACTACCTAAATTAAATGTCCATTCATTGGAGTTGGGGAAATAAATTATAACTTAGCCATACAATAGACAATGATTGAAAAATCATGTCTTAGGATGGTATTTGGTAATATGGGAAAATATTTAGAATGGTATTAAGTGAAAATATCATTAAGTAAATCCTAATGGTATGTTTTCCATTTTACAATAACATCAACTTGGACAAGAGTAGAGGCACATCCTGACAGACACTTGTCCTGGTGTGCTGGAGTTCTTGGAGAGGAGCTACTGGTCTTGATTCATTGGTGGGGGAAGTCAGCACCCTTGTTAGTATTCAGATCAGAAACATGCCCTACCTGGATCCTAGACAGCTTGGGTTTGCGGGCTTCGTTTACTCATACCTATCAGGGAGTTGACTGTAGTGAGTAGACTGTAAATCTTTTTCTCTTTCAGGGCTACTACAAAATTCTGGGAAAGAGAAAGCTGTCTAAGAAGTGTGGCATGGTGAAGGTCAAATTCTTCAGCAGAAAAGCTGGAAAGTTTAAAGGCGATAGGGCACCTGTGTCCTGGTGACTTGAAACCACACAGGGAGGTTCATTAAATGATAACAAATTATCCCCACCCCAATAAACAAAATAACATTAAATTTGGACATACAGAGTATATACCTAGGCATATGCATATTGGTATAGTCATTTATTTAACAAATAGGGACTGGGTACCTTTTATGTGCCTGAGTTAAGGGCTGAAGGTAGAGAGCCAAATCAATGCAATGTAGTCCCTACTTCCCTAATAGGCTGTCATACACAAGAAAAGGCATAACAGCAGGTGCATCAGAGAACCAAACAGGTGTTTCTGGATGGTGGGTGACTTACATCTCCCTCTTTATGTACTTCTGTATCTTTTAGATTCTCCAATAAAAGTAACACTTTTATAAAAAGAAAAAAGATGACAAATATTATTTTTAAAAGTGAGCAGAGCCCCAAAGTTTCACTCTATCCCTGAAACTGAATGACTGATTTGATAAACTGGAAGGGCTCCTGGCTGGGGACCACAGATAGGTGACTTTCTTCCACACGTCCCAGTTCTTCTCTTACAAGAGGTTAGCTTGGCTCAGGTGATGCCCCAGATCCCCTGGCTCTGATGCTCAAGGGGGCTCTCACTGTATTTGTGGAGACTTCAGATGAGGACAGGAATTTGAACAGAAGCAAATTTATACACCAGGATGTCATGCTGCTCTTTATATTGATTGCTCTTAATTCCGAATTTGGTATGGCTTCTTTCCTAACTCACAGATGTAGCTTTAGCTAAGATGAAAATCATTTTTTAATTTATTTATTTACTTATGTATTTAAGTACTTATCTTGAGCCTTTTAGACTTTTCCTTTTCAGCCTTTGCTTTTTTCACCCCAGGTAAAAACTTGGGAAAAAACAATACAATATCTTCTCCCTGTCAGCCTTTCAATTGGTTTACCACCAAACCATCAATTTCCCATAAGCTGTTAGCAGCTCTTCTAGTCCCGTGCAGATGCGGCGTAGGATGAAAAGGAAAAGTTAGGTATGGCTTTGTCCCCAATGCCTTGCAATATACGAAACGAAGTAATAAGAGCTCAGGAAGAAATCTGGGATTGACATCGTAGCATATCCCGGTCTATGTCATGTTTGATTAGTGTATGCTGCAGGTATTTTCAAAAGGGAAATAGCACCATGTGTAGGGGAAGTCTTGCTTCTTAGGTAGGCAAGATTTCAATAAGCATGAGGAAAGCATGTCATTTCTAGCAGGAGAACCTGAAAGAATGGGGTAAGTGGGGGTGGGAAGCCATTGCTATTAAGACTACCAGACAGAGGAGAAAACCCATGGCATTCAGGTAACGTCCCTCCCTTCCCCATCCCCTCTTCACTTTCTCTTTCTTTCTTTTCCTTCCATCCTTTGCCCTCCTCTTTTTCTTTTTGCGACAGTGTCTCACTATTTACCCAGTCTGACCTGGAATTCCTCAGTGACCTCAAATGATCCTCCTACCTCAGCCTCGTGAGTACCTGGGATTATAGGCATGTACCAACCATACCTGAACTAACCAGATGAATCTGAGTTTTTGATAAATGCTTTTTAGCATAAGTATGTCCTATGCAACATTTGGCATATATTTATACTCAACATTATGAACTCTTTCTCTGAAACACAAATGGATCTGAGTGTCCTGAATTTGCTTATGGCAGCCCTATATTTTAGGATGGGCACATGGGACTACATAACATCGAAGAAACTCAGGTGCCCAAGGTTGATGGTCGAAATCGTTACCTGACTTCTTGGATATGTAGAGGCCTGCACTGACGCTAGCATTTGAGTCTCCCTTGCTTACCTTATGCGGATCACTCAAGAACTCTTCCCTTGAACCACTGATACATGTGTATAGAGCATTATAGTGAAAAGGCTTGGCATCAGTACAGACAGCCACCTAGCCCGCACCTGTCATCCTTCATATTTGGGGAAGCTGTCCCACCCTTTGGAACTTGAAGCCCGTGGGATTCACTGTGAAGGGCAAGGATTTGATTTCCTCACCTTTGCTCAAAACCAGATCATTAATGTCTCTTGTCTTAGTGTTTTACACAAAGTAAAGATTGTTTTTCTCCTTGTGTGAATGTTTTCCCCTTCTCAAATCATTTTCAATTGCTGCTCTCCCTATAATGCCTCTTGAATGGCTGTTAGAGGGGAATGGGAGCTACTAAGTCCTCTATGTCCCTTTCTCTAGCACCCCTTCCCAAACGAGTGCAAAGTACGTGCGGACAGAGGGACAGACACCCCTCCGCTCTTCGCTAGAGGCTGAAAGCAACCCTGTATCCCTTTGTGAGGTCATCCCTCTTCCAAATGTGGGGCCGTTTGATCTTTACCACACGGACTGTAGGTGAAGGAGCTTTGCTCTGGTCTCGGCTGCACCAGTATGTGCTGGCATACCATTGATTTTATGCAATACAGGAGAAGGATTTAGAAATGTGTTCCTTGTCATTTATGCTTGTTTATACAAAATAAATCCTGTTTGTTCAAGGGTGTTAAGAAAAGGTAATTTGTTTCTATTTAGTTGTTCACTTAGGCTGTGCACCTTTGTTTTTTTTAAAGTGTTTTATTTATTATTTATATTTAATGTGTATGAGTGTATTGCCTGCATGTAGGTAGGTGTACTTGTGTTGTGCAGTGCCCACTGAAGTCAAAAGAGGGTGTCAGATCCCCTGGAACTGATGTTATGGATGGTTGGGGTGGTTATTATTTGCCATGTGGGTGCTGGGAATTGAACCCAGGTCTTCTGCAAGAGCAGCCAGTCCTCTTAACCACTGAGCCATGATTCCAGTCCCAAGCTGTGGACCTTTGTACAAATCATTCCTGACTCTAGATGACCTGAGTGGGTGGGTGGGACCACTGATGCTACTGAGCAGAGCAGCTGCTAGGACAGGAGTTTGCCCAAAGTCAACTGTGGGTGTGGGTGAAGTGTCCTTACATTACCGGCTTTGGGTGAAGATTGCTTAGGCCTCCAGGACCCCACTGCTACCTTTGCAGATCACAAGCTTTTAAGAGGGCTCCTGAGATTCTAACCTGTTTCATTTTGTAGCCATCTTTGGATGGCCTGTGAGGGCTGATGTTGGGCTTCAGTTTCACACCCCAGGAGTGAAGGTTTTTTTTTTGTTTGTTTGTTTTTTCCCACTTTGGTCTGACACAGGCTTGTGAAAAGCAGCTTCTTGGATTCACTGTACCAAGGCTTCTTTCAGGCACTAGTTGCCCTGTTTATGTTAATTCTGGGGAAGGATGTGGATGTGATTATATGGGATTCAAGTGACTCCTAAGAAGAGCAGTAAGTCATCATCTTGAGATCCTTAGAACAGCAGCACCCCTGTCCCAGAGAGATTCACCTTTAACCTTCCTGATGCCTGGACCCAGCAGGCGGAAGTAGGTGATAGAGCGGCTGCCTGTGGGTACACAGGCTCTGGCTTTTAGGTCAGGTCTATGATCTGGCAGGGTACAAGGACCTGATTTGGCAAAGGCCATGGATATCTTTTATCTGTATAGAAGCCAAGGAGGAGAATTAGGAGCATAAATTCTGAAAGATTAGATTGGATCAAAACAAGGCAGCTGTTGTTTTTGCCAGAGCTTAAAGGGCACAGCACAGGCTGCTGAACCCATTTCTGTTTTATTTAGGGATTTCCCCTTTCTCATTTGAACACTGTTGCTGTTGTCTTTCCCCTGCTTCCTTGGACATGGTGTGTCACATGACAGGGAAGAGGTGTGTCTAGATTTGGAAAAAGAATGGACAACCGTTGCACTGCAGAGAAATGGTCCCCATAGCTCACCAAGCTCCTAAGCCTTGGGAGCCTGTCCTAGATGTCAAATATAAGTCCATGTTAATATAATTCCCCCAGTCCTTAAGTGGACAATTAGAACATTTCTAGAAAATGGTGGGTAAATTGTTTTAGTATTTCCTTTTCCCTTCCTTCTGACAAGTTCATCAAATTAAACTTGGGTTGACTAAGTTGATACACAGTTTAAATACCTGAAAACCTCAAATCAAGTTGGAAAGAGGGCCAGGAAGCTGGAAAGGCAGTTGGCAAGAACCTGTTTCTTCATGTCTGCATAAAGAATGTGTTCAGGTTTTACCTTCATAGAAAGATGGCTGAGAACAGGAAATCAAGTCTAAAGATGGTGAGTGACTTTCTTCCACACATGACAGTCTCCCAGCACCTTTCAGTGCCACCTGCGCCGGGGCCTCTGCTGCTGTCTTTCCCACTGACTGCACCTGTGGAAGTTGCCAGGGCCTCTTAGCAGATGAGGTTACAGCCAGGTAAAGGTCTCATCTAAGAAAAAAGGATGCAAGAGTGGCAGCAGGAATGCCAAGTCAGAGGTATGGAAAGAATTCTCTGAGGTGTGTTGGATAGTCTAAGCAATAGCCTGGTGTAGAGTTATGTCAGAAGAGGCCATGAGGCCAGAGAAGTCTGCAAAGTGTCTGTGAGGGAAAAGGGTCAAAGACAACAGCAGAAGGGTTCTTATTTCAGGCCCCAGTGCACAGGCGCCTGTTTGCCTTCCTGTTTGTCTTCTCAGCAGGAGAGCTGGCAGAAGGGAGGAAGAATGAACTGGAGGGGAAAATCCCTGTGGTTCCCTTCCAAGGAGGCGTCTAGAGCACCTGTTGTGTTGTAAATGGAGGAGTAAGTCCCTTTGTGAAGTTAGCTGTGAGAGGTATATGAGATTAAAGGACTGATTGTACTCAAAGGCCTTAGAGATGGGAGGCTAGGCCTGGTATGTATGGTGGGGCCACTTGGAGAGGAGGGGAAAGGAAAGGAGGGACGAGGAGGGGGGAGGATTGTGACCA